CTCATGTGCTGCATTATACCAGTGAGGTTCCAGTTAACTGATGAATCGTCTTGTCTTTACAGTTCCACTGAAGCCTTCACTGAAATTATATACTCATACTTTCAACGGCTCTTCCTGTTCATTCTGTGTATCGCTGTCAGGGTGCAATGAAATAGAGCCTTTATATTAGGTGGTGGGTTCTCCACAATTTTAAAATAAGTTAGGATGTTATTCTAAAAGATGTGCTGTAGTTCAATTAGGAATTAATTCAGGTCCTATGGCCTGTATTAAAACTGTAGATTAATGCAGTGACCACAGTTGCCCCTCTGGCTTTATAATCCATGAATCTAGGTGCCACTAAATACCACTTTTAAAGAAGACATTTGAAAACTGATAGAGTTTTGGCTGACTTATTACAGAAATGGTAGAAGATCTGTGGGCAACACAACATTGCTACACTACATTGCAACATCACTACACAAGAATTAAACGTTGATGTCAGGACCAGGACCAGCCAAACAGCCTGGCTGTGTTGGGAAGAGTGCTCTAGTAGAGCCTTGTGAAGAAACTCCCAGTATTGAGGTCCCTGCTCTTTTCATGCATTCCCATCAGTACTGACCATGTATGCACAGTGAGAGACTTTAAGTCTTCACACCATTTGTCTTCCTGTTTTGTACCTTCTTCAGTGCACCAAATGCCCTTTCATCATATTCCTGGAGGATATGCCTTTTTGAATGGAAGGATAGTTCAGTTCCAATGGCTCATTTAATCTGTGGCATCTCTTAGATTACAACCAAGGTTCCCAATGAGGACCATCATAGCTTTTGTGATTTGGATGCTTTTTAAAAGTCACCACTAAGGGGGTTGTAGCATGGTGTGCAAATAGCCACATCGCAAAGCCAGCTGACATACTCTGATTGTCAACACTGCTGAAAGACTCAGCAGATGGGTACAGTGAACTGTGGAGATTGAACTTTATCTTGTCCCTAGAAGTGATTGATGTGGGTCAAGTTCGATACACATTCATGGGGAAGTGTGCAAGAAGGAAGATCTAATTGTGCCTGAATTGAACCTGTTTTGTGAAGACAGGGTTTCTGTCACCAGGCCTGCTGGTCTGATGCTTCACAACTCTTTAC